AGACTTGCCACGGTCTCCAACCCTCCTCCTTTCTCATCCGGGCTTGGGACCGGCCATGGCGGAGTTTAATTTTTTGCATTCTTATTCAAAATCTAATTTTGGCGTCTTCTCGATTTGACGTTATTTTTCACTTCATTTCCCCACCACCTCATTGTTTACTCAGCGACGCTGCTTTCTCATGCAAAATGTCTCCTGATTGGTTGTTGTCTTGGTGGCATTTCTGAGCGTATAATGAAATTAATCTTCCTGTTTTGTGGCGTACAGCATCAAACATACAGCCATTCGTTTCTTAGACCAGTATGTGCAGTGTTATCCTGTTGACTTCCTGATTTAGACGATATTCTGGCCTATGACCACCGCCTGTGTAATTTCCTGGAAACGTTTCAGGTATATGAAGGTGATCTTAACGTGCATCTTCTTGATGTCCAGCTCAGGATGTCCCAGGTATCGTTTAGGGCGACTAAAGAAGAAAACAGAGCACCTTATACCTGTTGAGATGCAGTTAAGCATTATAAACGGTACATGGGTTGGCAGGCGTTTCTAACCTTCTTGGGTAAATATGTTAAGAAGAAAGATCCTGACAGTGAACGGAAAGGGATAAGTAAACGACTGGAATCCATCGAAGAAATTAGAATCAGTGTGCGTTTCTTCTCTGTTGTGGTCGCTGCAAATACTCTCTGCTATTCAACGATTTGTTCAGGAAAAGTGTTAAGAAATGACAGATATGATCTTGCTAATGTCGGAAACCAGTCGGGTACGCTGACACTGGTGACGGCTGGAAATGGACAAAAACGACCTTCCCTAATGCTGCCTGAAAGCTCAGTTATCATCTGTGATCTTCTATTCCATGATTAATATTTTTGTCTACAGCAATGACTTACTACAATCAAGTTCCAGTCTATTTTCAGTGGAACTGCCTTTGTACGAATTGATTCGAAATCAGGCAAGTTATTTTATACAGTGATATATGGGAAAATCGATCTCCTTAATATAAGATCTGTAATTATTGCTGAAAGTAATGATGAGTGTCACATACAGACTGACTTCTTACACACATTAAGTGCCTCATAAAAAGGATGTTCTGACTCTTCTTTGACTGTTTCCAGGCATCCTGGAAAAATATGCCATAACTCTCCAGCTACGGAATTTTGCATTAGAGAAAGTAATTTTAAAAAAACTACTTATGACGTTCGTGTTCCTGGGCTACTAGAAATTGACAGCTGACATTTGCCCAAATTGATGGTCGGTTTAGATGGTTTTTGTTGTATTTACATCAGCCATAGTGTTACGTAAAGTTCATATCGTAATCCATGAAAGTTCACTTGCTCAGAGGTAAAAAACGTTTCAACGGTATCTAATCACTGAAAATTCATATTATTCACAAACCTCAAAGACCTTCTTATGGTAACTCCTCCATTACCGATCGTAAATGTAGACTTAATAGGAGGGATGGGATTCGTGGGGAGGTCTCCGTAAAGTACACCTAGTTACTCGTCATGGTATTGCTGTTATCGAACTTCCTACCGGCTGGGTCATCGCGGAGTTATCAAGTACCGTGCAGGCTGGTGAAGAACTGAGGCAGACTTCGAAAAGTCGCTAATCACTAACTCATCGACGCTTCGGCCAACTGGAGGTACATCTGACGAAAAAAGACGCCAAGATTAGTAACGTGCCAGTCAGCAGCGGAATCGCTTGCCCTTGTGTACGGAGCAGCGAATGTCGTTATAGTAGGTCTGATACGATTATACCGTACGGATACAGACATTAGGAGCTCTCGGTCGGAAATTGGAACATCACTCGGAGGGAATGAGCAGGAGGTAGTTGATGAGGTCACAAGGTAGCTACTGGATTCGTGTGACTGTCGTCAGCGAAGCACCTTTGCTTTGGATTTCTGGAATTCTGCGAACGGAAGATATTCCACTCAGCTGTCGAATCCACTACCCGCGCTAAGACCGGCGGTGGTGTTCTGGAACCACCGGACCTGTGTGACAGAATTGTTGAATGGAAGAGTGTTGCGTTAAAGTGGCAATCGTCTGGGGGGGACATGCAACAGGCTAAAACTTTAACCTCATTGAAGGACTCTTGAATCAGTTTGAAAGAAAAGTAAGGGTCTTTCCTGGAGAAAGTAGAATGTCTCATTAACACAAGATGTGTTGTAAGCAGGATTTCCTAGACGATGGTTTCATTATGACAAGTCGAAGTTTCGGAAGAAAATATTCCACTAACTGATGTCGCACCCAAAAACATTTTCATTGAAGAAAGAATGAGGAAATTGACAACGCATTCATTCATTGAAAAGCAACGTTTCGGCAATTAATTAGCATTTCGTTGCATTTAAGTGAAAACGGTATGAATGCTCTAACAAATAGCGATGGCGGATACACCTACATTAAGTGACCATTCGTTGAACCCTTGCTTTCATGAAGTTGATTGACAGTCGGAAGCTGATCTTCATTTCCTTGAAAAAAGATGAGTGAGAGGTTATAACGTTTTAGCGGCAACATCGGCTTTACTCGACGCAAGCGCGCCACGCCTTTGCTTCTAGGCTCCTAGAGTAACCATTTAACCCGGACGTGGTGCCGTGGTATTTCCGCACTGGTAGCGCGTCGGATGTAACAGTGCATTTGCGAGCTTGACTTTTAATATAGAGCTGTCTGAGTGATGAAATTGTGGGTTCCTTTGTACCCTACTTCACAGGCCAAGTATTAGTTGTATATTTGACTGTTTTTTAAAATGTTTTTAAAGTCGAGTCATATTTTGTCATTGTTTCATATTTACTGCTACACTTTGTCATATTTTGTTTTTTGGCGCTGAAAAGTCACACGATAACCTTCGTACGCCTGGATTCGTGTAGTCTTTGTCGGTTTAAGGGTATTTCCATGTTTGCATTTCATCTATTGTTAGTCGTCAGTTTGCAGTTTTCATAATTGAAACAATACGGAATCTCGCTTTGTCACATCTCGCTTCCGATATGAACGGGGTAAATTTTCTAGGTTGATTTTACTTTGATTTTTTTGGTTTCTGTTGTTTTATGAAAGTTTCCTATCCTCTCGACGGTCTTGAGTTTGGCCTGGATCTTGTCTGATGCAACGGTTTACAATCAAGAGTTTCCTATTTGTCACCTTGAGAGCTATGTGAGGTTGTAATGATACGGTGCTGGGAAGAAGAACGCAATCGTTTGATCTGACGCTTGTTACGTGGTTATGTTTTTCTCTGTCTACGTTAAAGTTGAGCAGAAGTTTACGAAGAACGAAGAAATCATTCCCTCGCAGGATTATGACATTGGGATAGAGCAAAGCGCAACTACCATCAACTATCCAGGTGCCTTTTCCTTCCGGTTTCCCCGTTGTGGATAGCTCGGGAAACCAGATGAGGCAACACCTCAGCACTCATGTGAAAGCATCTGGCAGACTATTAACGCTGCGGCGTCCCACTATCCTCAATGCATCAAGAAGTTGCTTGCCTGAATCAGCAGGAAAAGCAAGTCCGCTTATCAGAGTGCTGACTGATTTTTTGACTCTACCACCAGAACAGGTTTCTAGTTGCACAGAAAGCCGGCTCATGCTGTACACTTCATACAGACCCAACAAAAGCAGAAAAAGCTGCGATGGGTAGAGGACGAAGTTCGTCTACCCGCCAAGCTGGACGCATCCCTACCACGTTTTGCAAGCTTTGCTCCAATTTTCGGCGGGCGTTAGACTTTCTGTAGACATGATCAAGGGCAAGAAACACAAGGGCCGTTTCAACGTCTACGCTGTCCTAAAAGAAAGCTTCCGGGAGGGGTCCCTAGCGGATGTCAAAAATCAACGAAAAGATAGCCCTGAACAGCACAACACCTTGGAAACACCAAAGAAAACATTGTGCAGTATACATTGTCGCTGTTGCGTAGAATCGTGGCAGAATTTGCTACTGCCATCATTTCAGACCTCGCCAACAAAAGCGAGGAAGTACGAACTACATCATGGCTTATCGACCACCTGCAACGTTCACGAAGAAAACCCTGGATTTCCGGATCGACAGAGTACGACCTCTCTAAGTCAGACCCCGCCGCTATTCAGAGTCTGTGCCTGCGAAGTCTTTGAGTTCAAGAGGTGCCAACAACTCTATAAGAGAGACCGCAAACGCCTTCTTGATTTAATAGAGACCAAAACGCTGGCCAAGCGTAATGATGTGGATGCGTTTGAGGTCGGCTCTTAATTTCTTGCATCTGTACTCAATCATCCCCTGAAGGAAGTCAAGCGGTCCATGAGAAAACTACACGAATACGCCCTCTCTGTTTGTCGCCGATTACGAGTGAGGAAATAACAACGTCTTTTGCTTGAATGAAATCAAGAACATCCCCTAGAACAGAAGGGACAAGGCTGGTTAATTTGAAGCGCGTGGACCCGGCAGCCCTTGCTGCAGTATTCAGCCTGTGGCTCCGGCGTGGAATGGCTCCTGAACGGTTCAAGCGCGGTAGTACTGTTTTTGTTCAGGAAGGACGCAGTGATAGTCAGGCCTATAACCATCGCATCCACTGAATACAGACTATTTTCCAGAGTGGTCCTATGCAGGCTGGAAGAAACGGTTTCCCTGAATACGGGGAAACAATGGATGCTTCCAAGGAGTTACGACCATCAGTTCTTGCATATCGAATGCCAAACGGACCGCTACAGAACTGTCTCGTGTCGTTGGACATCCGATAGGACTTCGATTCCATTGCACACTCGAGTGTCATACGAGCAATGCGGCGGCATCGTTTATTATGTATGTGCCAACAATTCATCCATAACATGCTCAACGGCGCTATAACGCGAATTGAGGTACCCAGCTACACTGGGTCAGGCATGCTCATCAACTGTAGCGTCAAGCAGGGCGTCCCCATTTCGCCTTTTCTCTTCCTGCTGGTGCTGGACGAACTGTTTGATGCCCTGCCTCCTGGTCTTCATCACAAATTGTAGAATGGATCTGGAGTCAAGGCAGTGGTATTCGCAGATGACATCGTCCTGCTGGCGGGCTCGAAGTCAGGAATGGGCCAGCTTATAGAGGTTACTACGTGTTTTCCCGCCGGCTGATCATTGGAACTAAACGCAGCTAAATCACCATGCATGCACTTATAGTGAATGCCAAAGTCTAAGGCGGTAGCTTGGGTTATGAATATAAACTAGCAGGTTCCGTCAATAGCATCGGAAAACCGAATCGTACAGAACATTTCTCCAGACAGTCTATTCCGGTACCTCGGTGTTGACATTCCGCTGTGCGTACTGTCGAGAACAGACATCGACAGCGTTAAAGAAGTACTGAATAGCATCTGCCGCGCGGCGCTGAAACCGCACCGGAACATGGAGCTAATCCGTGGTCTCTGTTGCATCCGGTTAGCATACGCTTGTTCTGTGGTATACCCGTTGTCCCCTTCGATTCCGCATAAACATAAGGTAGTCAGAACTGAAATCAAAGAAATTTTGAAGCTGCACCCGGACAGCTGTACGACTCATTTTTACCTTCCGCTTCTCCTTTTCATGAAACTAGCCGGCAGTCAAGTTCCAGTATCTTAACAACATCAGAAAAGCGCCGTTAGAGAATATAGAAGCCGGAAAGGCGTTTGGTCGAAACACAGCAGTTCAGACAATATTAAAAAGGATCATACAAAAGTTGGACATGGCCATTCTCACAACGCAATCCGTGCGCATTAAGAATCTGCAGTAAAAGAACGTATGACATCGGTGGCGTTCTGCGAAAGCCACTACCCACCAGGGATGGCCGCACGGCATATTCAGCCGTAACTCGTAATGCAATGAGTGGATGACAGGGACGCAAGTTCGGCAGCATCAACATTAATTAACGGTATCGCGCTGTGTACGGATCTGTTTCCAACTAAGGCTGTAATGTTCAGGGGAAAAGGTGATACCATTGAAACAGCCTGCAAACACTGCATTTAACTGAAGCGTTAATTAAGAAATAGCATCGTATATACGCCGGAGATGTCCTGAAACTCACGCGAATTAAAAGGCACGACAAGGTTGTGGAATATCTTGAGCCTGCTTTAGAACAGGGGTTCGCAGTTGTTGGAAAGCCTCATCTAAATGCCCAGGGTCAAAGGTATAAACCCGACCTACTGGTAAAGAAAGGAAACAGAATTTTAATCATTGATGTGGCAGTACCATGGTAAACAACGAATGCTCTCGAGCGAACCTACACCAATTGGGTGAGTTATTACCATTCACTGGAGCTATCGCTCCAAGCTCGAAATGCAAGAAAGAAGGTATCCATAGTCGGATTCATTATCTGGACTAGAGCATCATGGTGTGACCCGAACGGTGATGCTCTACGCCAAATTGGAGTGAACGTACATCTGAACAGAAGGCGTACATCCGTTTGCCACGAAGTTTTTAAACATACAGTCAAAATTATGAAATCGTTGTCGTGAAAAAGGTGTCTTCCTAACTACAGTTTATATGTATATTTACCTATTTATTCGTTTTAAACATTTGTGCGTATAATCTGCTGCGACTCTCCGGAAACGGCTAGGAAATCAATAAAGACTGAATTGCCTAGTGTCTCGTCATCTAATTAGTGAGCGCACGAATCGATCAGCGAAATTCTTGCTGTCCTTATATACTGTTTAGTGAAACAACAGCCAAAGGAACGATCTTGAAATATTCAGCTGGGAAAGAAGGCCTTGTTGAGCTTGACTCTAGTTTGGCTTTGTGAAAACGCATTAAAGGTGTAGCATAAGTGGGCGATCGCTTCGTCCAGTCAAAAGTGAACTACCACTACTTTGATAGATTCTTTACTAATTCGGTGAAGTCGATGAACAGTCGTTAAATAACTCAATACTTTTGAGTAGTATTTAGTTGTTGTTATTTATTGTCTACCCTAGAGAGAGCGTCAGACTGGGAGTTTGACCGTGCCGTTACATCTGTGAAAATTTAACGTAGGTATCCTGAGGAAAGTTCAGCGAGGCCATAAACCTCATGAAGAATACAAGGGGCAAAACCTCCCTTGATTTTGCTTTTCGTTACGAATACAGACGGTGAAAGCGAAGCCTATCGATCCTTTTGACTTTGTTGATTTCAAATGTGGTGTCATAAAAGCTGTTACAGGAATAATTGGCTAGTGGCAGCGAAGCTTCCATCGCGACGTTGCTATT